TAAGATGGGTGCCAAGGCCATGAACTGGATGACTGGGAAAATCAAAGAGAGTTACCGTAATGGTAGGTGGGGTAAGAGGGTAAGGCCCCTCCAAAGAGGCAGGCTCCCCAGTATAGAAGCTGACTGACGATGCCTTATTGCAGGACGGATTTTTGCCAATACTCCAGACTCGGGCTGCGTTCTAGGGATGCGTAAGAGGGCCCTGGTCTTTCAACCAGTGGCTGAGCTGAAGGACCAGACCGATTTTGAGTGAGTACATCTGCTTCCTGGAGTGATTCCCTCCCTGGTAGTTTTAAAGTCTACTTTTCCCAGTCTGCTCACTGCCTTCCATTCTTCTCTTAGGAGTAACATCTGTAGCTGTGCCTACCTAGGATCCGATGCCCATGCCCTAAATCCAGCCTCTTTTGCTCAACTTCTTTGCATAAGCATTTGATAGTTGATTGCCCTGCTAAAAGATTAAATCATCATCTACCTCAGGGGTGGGGAACCCTTTTTCTGTCAAGGGCCATTTGGATATTTATAACATCATTCATGGGCCATACAAAATTATCAATTTAAAAATTAGCCTGCTATATTTGGCCAAACATTTAATTAACTCACCCTAATGCCTTGGCAGGGCCAGACCAAGTGACTTTGTGGGCCTTATACGGTCCGCGGGCTGGACACTCCCTACCCCTGACCTACCTCATTCCTCTGTAGGCACCGCATCCCCAAGGAACAGTGGTGGCTGAAGCTGAGGCCCATCCTCAAAATCCTAGCCAAATATGAGATTGACCTGGATACCTCAGAGCATGCGCACCTGGAGCACATCAATCGGAAGCGGTCTGGAGAAGCTCCTGTCTAAACATCTTTGGAGGGAGGGGGGTGGATTGTCTGATAATGGTCAGCACACCCCCTGAGAGATCCAAGTCCACATATTCTCAAGTGTTTTAGCTCATTTTTCATTAGGTTTCCTTTTATTCTCTAACTGCAGCCAAGATCAGCTCTGGCTAGGGGGCAATGAGTGAAAGCTCCTTTTAGGTAGAATTTATCAAGACTTCTACCCCAGCTTCATCCATCACACAGGCTGGGCTCCTCTACTGCTAGATTTCAGTTACTCGGTTAGAATTTTCCTAAAAATAAGCTTTATTTATTTCTTTGTGATAACAAAGTCTTGGTTCCTCTACTGTGTTTGCTGCAATGACAAACAATAACTACACTAATAAATGCCAACTGGTCACTGTGCTTTTGGATCTCCTGCTGTCATCTTCACAAGTAGAGCATAGCACTACCAGACTCTGCCTGGACAGGACACATGGGACATGCAGCCCTTGTGAACAGCCCATGGATTTATGCAGCATCGCCTGGCTCTGCACACCAGGTCCTAGAGCAGGGGTGGGCAAACTTTTTGACTCGAGGGCCACAATGGGTTCTTAAACTGGACCGGAGGGCCAGAACAAAAGCATGGATGGAGTGTTTGTGTGAACTAATATAAATTCAAAGTAAACATCATTACATAAAAGGGTACGGTCTTTTTTTTTTTTTTTTTTAGTTTTATTCATTTCAAAGGTCCGCGGGCCGTAGTTTGCCCACGGCTGTCCTAGAGCATAGTTCACTGGTCCTCACCTTCATCCGCACTAGCTGCTTCTGCAGTCAGTACGATGCTCCCGACTCCCTTAAGCTGAAGTTGTTTCTCTTTTTGATCATATACCCATTACCCAGAGCTGCTTTCCCCAGCCATCCCATGATCTCTACTCCTCCACTGACAACCCAGGGTTCTCCCTTGCCGGGAGCCAGTCCATGCTTGCTGTTTCAAGGGACCTGGCATATATGGCATACTGTTCTTAATATGTTTGCTCACCTTCTTGGCACTATGTGTTTTAACCAAGGTCTCTGAGAAAGGTTGTTTCCCCAGGTAGGGATTTTCCCCTGAAGTTAAGGAGGGAATAAAAACCTCTTAACTAAGTGCCAGGCGGGTAATTAATCACTTTAACTACGAACAATCATGCTTAAGCTACATAATCTTTACTCCCTGGAATGGAGATAAGAAACGCCCTAACCTTTGTAATAGAGATTGATAGGATTGAATCAACTGGTATAAATACAGATGTAACAAGACAGCGAGAGACAGAACTTAGAACACAGAACTTAGAACACAGAACTTAGAAGACAGAACCAAGAAGACAGAACCTACACAGAACCTAGAGACAGAAGAACTTCGCTGGAGAGAACATGGCAAAAGATCCTGGACAGAAACTGGCAACAGAACCTAGAGACAGAACCTAGCGAGAGAACATGGCAAAAGATCCTGGACTGAACCTGACTATAGAACATGGCAAGAGAACCTGACTAGAACTTGGTGATTGAACCTGGCTGGAGAACCTGGACAGAACCTGGCTGGAGAACCTAGCAAGGGAACATGGCTACAGAACCTGGCTGGAGAACCTGGAGAACCTAGCAAGAGAACATGGACACAGAACCTGGCTGGAGATCCTAAGCAGAACTTTGCTGGAGATCCAGACCAGAACTTGGCTGGAGATCCTGGCTAGAGATCCTGGCTAGGCTGCTGATCAACTGAACGCTGTCTCTATGTCATTCCTTCTTCGCCGACTCGGACTATGCCTTTGGGAACCCCTGGACCTGCTGGGGTTGCACCCCGGTATATGGCGCCCGAACAGGGACCCCTAGGTAAGTGCCCCGTACTCGGAACGGATAGGACTCCACCGTAGGAAGAGGGTGGATAGTCTTTGCCCCACAATCGGGACGGATCGGACTCCACCATAGGAAGAGGGTGGATAGTCTTTGCCCCACAATCGGGACGGATCGGACTCCACCATAGGAAGAGGGTGGATAGTCTTCGCCGACTCCGTCCACACCTTAGGGAACCCCTGGAACAGGATTCCCCTAGGTAAGCCCCCCCTTGAAAACCCCCACACTCGGGACGGATAGGACCCCACCAGGGTGCTACAGACCCCCCTATAGAGGATAAATAGGGTAAGAAGGTGGATAGTACAGAACTTAGATTGAGAAGATGTGCCATACTGAGTCCAAAGAAAGAAGACTCTGTATTGATCTTTAGATTAAGAAGATGTGCCATACTGAGTCTAAAGAAATAAGACTCTGTATTGATCTTTTAACACATATGCTTGCTAGCAGAGGAATTAAGGTTACTCCCAGTCAGACAGAACGTTTTATACAAGAAGTATGTCCATGCTTTTCTGAGGAAGGAAAGGTAAATGTAAAGGCATGGGAGGAGGTAGGCCCAAGAAGCCTTATTCTTAACCCCACTGCAGCCTTTCCACCCCGGGAAAGTGCAGGATTGGCAAGTTCTCCCTGGGGTGATAGATCAGGACTCAGGTAATAGTGGAAAGTGCCAATCCTACTCTTAAAATGGATACAAGAGAGCATTTCGGGTTTTTCTTTTAATGCCTGCTTTTAAAAAATAAAAAAGGGGGAATTTGCCGGGAGCCAGTCCATGCTTGCTGTTTCAAGGGACCTGGCATATATGGCATACTGTTCTTAATATGTTTGCTCACCTTCTTGGCACTATGTGTTTTAACCAAGGTCTCTGAGAAAGGTTGTTTCCCCAGGTAGGGATTTTCCCCTGAAGTTAAGGAGGGAATAAAAACCTCTTAACTAAGTGCCAGGCGGGTAATTAATCACTTTAACTACGAACAATCATGCTTAAGCTACATAATCTTTACTCCCTGGAATGGAGATAAGAAACGCCCTAACCTTTGTAATAGAGATTGATAGGATTGAATCAACTGGTATAAATACAGATGTAACAAGACAGCGAGAGACAGAACTTAGAACACAGAACTTAGAACACAGAACTTAGAAGACAGAACCAAGAAGACAGAACCTACACAGAACCTAGAGACAGAAGAACTTCGCTGGAGAGAACATGGCAAAAGATCCTGGACAGAAACTGGCAACAGAACCTAGAGACAGAACCTAGCGAGAGAACATGGCAAAAGATCCTGGACTGAACCTGACTATAGAACATGGCAAGAGAACCTGACTAGAACTTGGTGACTGAACCTGGCTGGAGAACCTGGACAGAACCTGGCTGGAGAACCTAGCAAGGGAACATGGCTACAGAACCTGGCTGGAGAACCTGGAGAACCTAGCAAGAGAACATGGACACAGAACCTGGCTGGAGATCCTAAGAAGAACTTTGCTGGAGATCCAGACCAGAACTTGGCTGGAGATCCTGGCTAGAGATCCTGGCTAGGCTGCTGATCAACTGAACGCTGTCTCCATGTCATTCCTTCTTCGCCAACTCCATCCACACCTTTGGGGACCCCTGGACCGCTGGGGTTGGACCCCAGCACTCCCTTTTCAACTCTTCCCCTGTACTCCTTCCTGGGTGAAAGCCAGACTCCATTTGTGGGGAGCCATGTATATTTGGAAAGCTTGGGAAATTTAGACAGCTAATCTGGGACCTGATTTGGTTGCAATACTGTTTTGGAAAGATGTCCGTTCTTATTCAGCTTAATTTGTTTTCTGTCCCATAACAACAGCTTCTTCTTCTTCATCAGCCAAGTGCCCATGTAATGCAGTCGGTCTTCAGGATTGGGACTACAAATTATACCCAAAATGGTCAGGATGGTGCCCTGGTTTCAGCTTAGCCTTCAATAACCAGATCCTGGCTCACAGCGCAGGCAAACATGTTCCTCCCAACTCATTTCCTCATCTGCTTGGTGAAGCAGGTTCAGGTTTACAAGGGGTGGAGGAAGGAATTATCTCTAATAGGTCGGTTTTGCTGGCTGTCCAAAGTATTACTTCTTTACCTTGAAAAACTTTCTAGGTGTAGTGACTGAGAAGGCGTGTCAGAGTCCAGAATTAAAGCAGCCAAATGCTCTTTATACTAGTACAGGAAGTAACAATAAGTATCAAGCATTGTTATCACTGAATCCTCAAAACAGCCTATGAGGGAGGGTGACAGTCCCATTTCAGAGATGAGTTCAGGGTGATTAAATAATGTGGAGAAAAGTAAGAACAGCAGAAATTACCAGTGACTTTCAGAACTGTTTATTTTTTAAGGAAGCAAAAACACCAATAGCAAAAGAGCAAAAGCAGATAGTATACTTGTTCAAATTAGCTATGTCAGCAGATTGTTCACTTTTATTTGTAGTTCCCAATTGTTTTTTTTTAAAGGTTTTTCAAATTTGCATATAGGTCATCTAAGACCGATAATAACTTGATCTAGCCCTAGCTGGTTTGGCTCAGTGGACAGAGTGTCGGCCTTTGGACTGAAGGGTCCCAGGTTCCATTCCGGTAAAGGGTAAATGTCCGAGTTGTGGGCTTGGTCCCCAGTAGGGGGCATGCAAGAGGCAACCAATCAATTATTCTCTCTCATCATTGATGTTTCTATCTCTCTCTCCCTCTCTGAAAATAAATTTAAAAAAAATAACTTGATCTAGGTTAGGGACATGGAAAGGAGTATTGTTGACTAAGTATTAGTCGCTGAAACAGATCTTTTTTGGGTAGATGGGCCATCTCAAAAAAGGCTCGTGTAATGCTCTTCCCCCGGCCCCAACTCCATCCCCTCCACCAGATCAGTAAAGAGCCAATTTTCCAAAACAAATGAAAGAAAAATAATTCCAAGCCCTTAGCAAAGGGAGCTTCACATAGGGAGTAAGGAAGACCCACAAGGAAAGGCAGCCCCACTCCTCTTCTCCTAGAGCAAACACCTTCGCCTATGGTGCAGGAAATGCCTGCTACACCATTGGAGCAAGCTGGCTTTCAGGGAGAAAGAACTGCATTACAAGAAAATTTTTAGGACTGCGTAGAACCTGCTATCTCTTCTAATATATGGAAAGCAGTGAGACAATCTTTCTGAATTAAATTGCTGAATTATTGTAATCCTTGGGCACAACCATGGAAAAGAGGCAAAGACTGCTGTTTCTTTTGATGGTGAGAAAGGGAGCCAGACCCTTCTGAATGCCCCATGAGGTGACACTCTAGGGATACCATCCAGCCCAATTCTCCATCTGCACACTACTTGAGGCTATATAATACCTTCATCTTTGGGCAAAAGTTAGATGGAATTTCCTTAAACTTCTTCACAGATCAATTAAAATGCTTCTAGAGGATTGTTCCAAAGTGTTATGTCCCCAAAGGAAAACCAAACACACATTCTTTGAGTACTTTGTACTTTTCATCTTCCTAGAGAAAATTAGATTGCACTGTCGGCTTTTTCTCTAAAGAGGAGGAGAGATGGGAGATCTCTTCACAGGGTGCAATATAATAAGCAAACAGAAGACAAAAGTGAGAGATCTTTTTCTTGTTGTTTGGTTGCTTGGTTTGGGGAGAGGAGGTGGTGTGGAGGTTACTGTTGTGACATGTTGCCTCAAAATATAAACAACACAACAGGAACAGCTGCTTTTCCTGTTTTCCAAGACAAAGAGACAGCAGTGCCGGGAAAACCTGACCCAGAGTTGCCTGCGTGATGGTGCAAACATCTCCTCCAGGCTATTCTACAAGTAACAGGTATTCCTTCAGAGAAGCTGGCAGGGGAAGGCCCTTCACTGCATCTGGCAGATACTGGAGTCCCAGGCTACGGCGCACAGCATAGCGAGAGAGTGTTTTTAGAGTTCCTGGGGCTGAGCACAGAACAGTCAGTTTTTCACATAGCTGCTGGTCTCTGGCCACTTCTCGTGGCATGGTGCCATTTTTCCTTAATTCAAAGTGTCCAACAGCCCTGTGGAGGAGCTCAAAGCAAGAGTCCTCTTTCTCAGTTCCAAGTCCCCTGACTAGCAGAGCCACCAGCCGGGAGATAGGTGTCTGGCCTTTTAGGTTGATGACTCTGACCTCTGCACCATAATCAAGAAGGATGCTGACGCTCTCAAGATTTCCCTTCATGGCAGCCCAGCTGAGTGGGGTATCATTGTTGTAATCCAGGGCATTGACAGAGGCCCCACTCTCTAGGAGGGCCCGCACACATTCAGCATTGTTCTTAAAGGCTGCCCAGTGAAGGGGGGTGTCTCGGTTGCCATCCAGTGCATTGGGGTTTGCACCATACTCCAACAGGACCTCCACGCAAGCCTCATCCTTCTCAGCTGCATAGTGGAGGGCTGTTCGGTTGTAACCATCCAGGGCATTCACCTGAAGAGAGGGAGGAACTATATTACAGTAGATGGACTACTGAGATGATAGGTGGGCAAAGAAGCATGCATGTTTATCCACTACCTTGGCTTGTAATGTTCTGAACAAGAGAGTCAACAAGCAATTCCCAGGAGGGCCTTAGTGATCAAGGTAGAGATATCACAGGAGCTTAGGAGCAAATAGGAAAAGAACTGTCTCCAAGCAACACTATTATGTGCACTTCCTGGCTGGCCTGCGTTCTTTAGGTGCTTGCTGCTGTTATCATTTATTATGCACTAGAATCTCTACCGCAGAATAAGGGCTAAAGAAAGAGAAGAGATGCCCTGGCTAGTATGGTTCAGTGGTTAGAGGCAACTACTCAATCTCTCTCTCTCCCTCTGCCCCTCCTTTCCCCTATATGCAATAAAGAAAAACGGAAACATTTAAACTGAGTTCAACCTTGTATTTAGATAAAAACTCTCTTTTTCTCCCCCAAGATATTTTCATTTTCATCACTGACATTAATCACTGGCTTTTATTTCAGGGTCACTCACAAAAGTGTTATGGAGCCCTGGCCAATTGGCTCAGTGGATGGAACATCAGCCCATGGACTAAAGGGTCTGGGTTCGGTTCCGGTCAAGGGCATGTACCTTGATTGCAGGCTTGATCCCTGGCCCCAGTTGGGGTGCGTGCAGGAGGCAACCAATCGATGTGTCTCTCTCTCATCAATGTTTCTCTCTCTGTGTCCCTCCCCCTCCCTTCCACTCTCTCTAAGAATCAATGGGAAAATATCCTGCGGTGAGAATTGACAAAAAAAAAAAAAAGTTATGGAAAATATAATGACAGTAGAGAACAACACAGCTGTGTGGAGATCAGATGCTGGGGCTGCCCTTTAGACTTACTGATTAGTGTTTGGAGCCTGCACACCAGCTTCATGGCATGTCTGATTCAAATTAGTACCTCAGCATATGCACGTTAAGATAGTTCACCAAGAGTCAAAACTGCTTATATAATTATTTAACAAGCAGTTAGCAATCATTACATGCCAGTGTTCTAAATACTTTACAACTTTATAAAGAAGATACCATTATTATCCCCATTTTACAGGTGGGGAAACTAAGGTAAAGAAAGGTTAAGTAACTTGTTCAAGGTCACACAGCAGGAAGAAGTGACAGCTAGAATTCAAATCCATGAAGTCCTGCTCCAGAGTCTACTCTTTTAATCACTCAGTATACTCTGCTGCTTCTTGCTAATGCCAACATAAATTAATCTATAGTTTTTACAGAAGCAAGATGTACTAAGACAAAATAATTGGTAGGCAGAAATAGCACAAGTAACCCAATATTGAGGAAGGGATTGCTGAATGATATGTATCTCCCAGTGACAATGGTATTAAGAGTGCACGCCTGGAATGTCAAGGGGAGAAAAAAAGGAGACCTATGTAATACTCTTTGTAATACTTTAAGCAATAAAAAAAAAGATAAAAACAAATAAAGAAAAAAAAGAGTGCACGTCTGGTAGCAACAGGTCTCACGTGGTTTAGATTTAATCAGAGTCAAGGGACCTCTGCACTTACAGCTCTTGGACAGTCAATAGGCAGCAAAAGGATTAAATGGTAGTATAAACAACTCCAGAAGGAAGGCTGGGAGAGAAAGGGGAGATAAGATTCCTTCTTTCTGGGCAACTTTAAAAAGAAAGTCAAAGGAATGAAATCCTTAGGATGATTTCATATATTTGCCATTGCATTTTGCTTTCATACTAGTTATGCCAATATTACCAGGAGCTAGAAGGTGGGAAGTGATGGGAGAAGAGAGAAATTTTAAGAAAATGTGAAGCTCCAGTTTTAGTAAATCATCAATGTGACAGTGTTAAGAATGTTACCTCAGCTCCCTTTTCCAGGAGTAACTCCACACAGTCGGCATCGGACACCATGCAGGCACAGTGCAAAGGCTTCAGCGTGCCATGGGTGCAGTTCACATCTGCTCCCTACGGCAGAGGGAAACTTCAGTCAGTGTGCTCGGCTCTGGCTCATCGAGCAGGACAGATCTCAGAACTGAGTCCAGGGGGATGAGGGTTCTAACTCAACTGTAAACAGACTAGTGGTCCCAGTTTCTATTCCTATTAATTAAATAATATTGTTAATATACAAAGCAAACAAAAACACTGATGATGAATAAAAGGGACTGTCAATTCCTTAAATCGAGTTATTTTCTCCACAAGAGAGCCTGCCAGGTCATTTGGACATCACTGAGGACATAAGCTGATATGTAAAAGCGGTGGGAACCTCATCAGCAGGCAGGAAAGCTGGAAAAGCTTTCTATGAGCACTAAGCTCTGAAAAAGGAAGTCAGACTAAAGCCAGCAGAACGAGCACGCTCCTTTTGCCATTCAACAGATGACATCACTAGTAGTAAGCTCACCTTAACATTATCTTTTTGTTTACAAACATTTTCAAAGTAGCCTCTTAGTGTCAGCATTCTCTGCTATCTAGCCCTGCTGGTACTTTCTTCCCCCCAAATCTGACCAAGGAGATAGAGCTACTATAGTCAGACCAAAGTCACTGAATGACTCAGCAGCAGAGCTAGAATTAGAACGTGACAAAATTTCTACTGCGGACCTTCGGGTATCACTTTTGCTGAGAACAAGCTAATACCATATGACTTTTTCTTCTCACTGCTGTGCCACACAACTCTGAAGCAGCTACAGAGCTCTAGGCTGTAAGTAAGGATTCTAAAGTTGTTAAAAAGAATGTACAGAAGTAACCATCTGGACACATTTTCTAGTGATCGAAAAATGACGCTGTAGCCCTAGCTGGTTTGTCTCAGTGGATAGAGTGTTGGCCTGTGAACTAAAGGGTCCCAGGTTCCATTCCCATCAAGGGCACATGCCCAGGTTGCAGGCTTGATCCCAGTAAGGGGCGTGTAGGAGGCAGCCGATCAATGATTCTCTCTCATCATGATGTTTCTGTCTCTCTCTCTCCCTCTCCTTTCCTTTCTGAAATCAATAAAAATGTATTTTTAAAAAATTACACTGTAACTTCTTTTCAACAGGAATAATATGCAGAAAAAAGTATCAGAGACCTTCTAGGATACACTAGTCATGAATTATTGAACAGTAGTGGTTAAATATCAGATATTAAGGTGTTTTCTTAAGTCAAGAATTACCATGTGTTTTAGGGGTTGATACTATTCTTTACAGAACTAGAAGTGGTAGCTGTTGTTAGAAGGCAGGTGATATCTCTCCATGTAATCATAAAACACAAAGATTTGAAAACCACTTCTGCTTTGCTGGTCTCCTCCCTCCCTCAGTACATGTGTAGAAGACTTTGAGCTTGCTGGATCCGATAGACACCATATCCAGACAGGGATTTCACAAAGAACATGAGACCAGGGTTATCTAGAACCTATTTTCTGAAGGAAAATATCAGATGCTCAAAGTGAACAGGAGAGGGGAAGAGAAGCAAAAAATAGGGAAAATATATTTCAATGGTCAAATTAATACATTTAAAAATACTGTAAAATTGCCTTGTGATCTTGAGCTGAGTCAAAGCTACAAATCTGTAATCTATTAGGATTTCCCAGGAACTTTCACCTCCCCAAGGACTCTGTGTCAATGACAGCACACTCACCCCTCTGATGAGGTCCTCTACATTATCATGTGGGAAGGAGCGAATGGCAGCAATTGTTCGGATTAAGCGCTCTGAGAGAGAGTATTTGCTCTGAATGCTCTGCATAATATACCACATACTGGAACTCATCAAGGCTCAGGGTATGTTCACATGCTCCAAACTGCCTGAAACAAAGAAGTTTTAGGCATACACAATATCACTGAGCTACCTGTCCTTAGGGGTAGGAGTCCTCTGAGGCCTTCCTAATACCAAAGCAGATTTCAAAGAGATCAATGATTAGTTAATATAATTTTCTCTTAATCTAAAGAAAAAAATTAATAATAATTGCTTAGGGAGCTGGGTAAACCTGGACACAAATGACCTGACCATTAGAACCTCAGTTCCATCCTCTGACCTAACCTAGCACAAGATTTCCCCAAGAACCCCATGGAGTTCTGTGTGATTTGAAACAAGTGTACACAAGGAAGGGAATTTTTTTAAAGGCTGAAGATGCCACAAAACATTATTTTCCTCCTCTGAATTTTGTGGTCTTTATTATTAGCACCACCGTTAGGTTATTTGATATATTTGGCTTTGAAGTATATTTATAGTCATATGTTTTCTCCAACTAAATTGTAATTAGCCCAGCCCCTGTTTACTTTCACTTCAGAGCCAGAGAAAACACCAAGGGGTTTTTATTGAGCATTAACCTATGAACCAGGAGGTCATGGGTTCGATTCCCCGTCAGGGCACATGCCCAGGTTGCTGGTTTGATCCCCAGTTGGGGGCATACAGGAGGCAGCTGATCAATAATTCTCTCTCATCATTGATGTTTCTATCTCTCTCTCTTCCTCTCCCTTCCTCTTTAAAATCAATAAAAAATATTTTTTAAAAAAGAAAAGAAATTGTAAGGCAAGATCTTTTTTTGCCCATGTAAGGCTATCCACAGAGACTTGCAAAAAGTAGGTATTTAATAAATATTGGTTGATTGATTGACCAAAGGACATGGAAGTGATTGTTACCTGTGAGAAGAGAGGGAAAAGACTTTAGAACAACTACAGTTTGTTAATGACAAAGTATCTGTGAAAAAGTTTAAAATGTTTTTAACAGAAAAAATGGGAAATATTTGAGGTAATATTCTAAAATAAGAAACGCAAAAGTACAACTCTAGAGTCAATTATATTTAATTAGAAAATAATTCAAAGTTTGCACCAATGACACATGCAGTTATAGGGAAAGAATCAGATTTGAGTGCAAAATGAATTAAAAATGTTAATAACTGGCCATTTGTGACAACTGAGAAACAGATTTGGGCAAATATATATTGAAAACACATGACAGAGAGTTCTAGGATGGAAGAAGAAAATAATGTAATATACTTAAATTCAACTATGATCAAAGTTTTGGCTGTATATATCAAGCATATATCAAAAATTATAGAGAAAATATAGTATGCAGTATTAGCCCTCTATGTGCAACTATTTAGAATCCATATTATTAAACTAAGTTCCTTGGGAGTAAATATAGTCTTATTTTCAATAGTGCTTGGCACATGATAGGTTCTCAATAAATATTTGTTGAAACCAATGTAAAGCTTATTACTTTGGATCTTAAAAAATTCAAGACCTGTAGTTAAACAACATTATGCATATGATGATTACTAAGGGAAAAATCCTAAAATTATTTTGGTCATTCCATACAATATAATTTTTGCTCTATCCCCTCATACATTATGTAACATACTACAAACTCTAATAGTTTCTATTTTGCTAATCACTAGCCATTTCTGTTTAAATGCATACAGTATTAATTAACAGAATGCAAGTTAAAATTATTCAATTTGTAGGTACCAATGATTCAAATTGGGAATTCCTCTCCCCTATGTTATTATGAATATGCTCACACACTTGTTTATATGTCTCTCTGAAATTTTCTAGATAGTTTAGAATTAGCATAATCTGTCCAACAGCCGCTAAACTCCTCAGAGACAAGGGTCAGTATCTTATATTTCTTTATTGCAAGGAAAAGGCAGAGGTGCATTTGAATCAGAGCTTCCAAGAATTGGGACAGAAGACAGAGCATCTGAAGTGGAAGGCTTACCAGCGGTTCTCAACCTGTGGGTCGCGATCCCTTTGGGGGTCGAACGACCCTTTCACAGGGGTCGCCTAGGACCACCGGAAAACACATATATAATTACATATTGCTTTTGTGATTAATCACTATACTTTAATTATGTTCAATTTGTAACAATGAAATTGGGGGTCACCAACAACATGAGGAGCTGTATTAAAGGGTCGCGGCATTAGGAAGGTTGAGAACCACTGGCTTAGACCGAGTGGTTCTGTTAACCGATTCTGGGCCATGATCATCTGAAGATGCTAAATAAGCCCTGCAATCATTCTGGGGGTGCTCATGGAACTCCTAACTCAGCATATGACCAGGGGTTCTCTGCTGCTGCCTCCAAGTTCCTGGTGAAGAGTGAAACTCCGGGGCACACTGACAACATTCACTGTCAGGAAATCTAAACTCGACCTATCTCCAGTCTGCAGCCATGCACGGTTTGACCCCCAAGTGACCCCTTTCCTCTCCTGGAGCTGAAAGCCCTCTTTCCCCCATTTACTTGCACTTCAGATCCAAAGAAAACACCAAGGGGGTTTTATTGAGAAACTAGAAGCAACGTCGGAGGCGACACTTAATAGCTCTGGTGCTTCCGTGGGGAGGGGAGACCCTCGGCCCAGCCGGAGGGGACCCCAACTCCGCCGCACCTGCTGGGGGAGGGCTCGCGGCAGCGTTGTCCCTCCGAGACCAGGGGGCGGAGGGTAAGGGTACGAAATGCGAGGACGTGAGGTGTCACTTTCCGCATGTCTTCCCCCTAAATTGCAGCAATCCCGGCAGGTCTCCCGGAGTCGGTACTTTGAGGGGGTCGCATAAACTGAGCCGCGGGAGCCCCAGAGGCAGATCAACCCCTTCCCTGGTCTCCAGAGGCCGGGACGAGATCTCAGGCTCGAGGGCTCGCGGACCCCGAGCGGACAGTGGAGGGAGCGTTACCCGGCTCGGTGCCCGGGTTAAGGAACCTGGATGCAAACATTCCCGCAGCGAGGGCCGCACTCACCGAACCGTGGGGTAGATCTGGGTCGTGAGAGCGGCTGTCAAGGAGTGACCCGGAAGCAGAAGTTGTCACCAGCGGGCTTCTCTGTTTACAGGACTTAAAGAGCGACTAGGTGGCGCCTGCGCACCGACCAGTGTCCGTAGGAGGGCCGCGCCTGCGCAGACTTGTGAAGCTGCCGGTCCTTCCCAGGCCTAATGAACCAGTCGCTCTCTCTGCCGCCCCGGAGGCTTTGCGCGCAGGCGCAATGTGGCGCTTTCGGCCGCAGCCGCGGGGCCCGGGTCCGCCGCGGTGGGGACAAGCTCATTCGCGGGCTGTGGGACCCACTCTGTGGGGCCGCACTTGCCTAGACCTGGCCTGCAGTGGGTCCCTCCATGCCCCCCGCTGCCTCCCACTGCTCCATCTGAGATCAGTCCTGAGCACCTCGTTCCCAGGATTATTCCCAAAGTCGCCACACTAGTTCAGTTGTCTAGGAGACGGACCAGTTAGTAAGAAGTGTCTTTGGCGAATAAAGAGACTTCCAGAATTATTCATAACTTTGGAACGCATTCATGCTCCTCGGAACCCTCCTGAATACTGTCAGCCCTCACTCAGAAGGAGCAAAGGTAAACAACCACCTAAGGAGTGCAGTAGCCCAAATGCTGAGGCCTGAAAAAGAGGTACATGCTAACAATAACCGGTCCCACCAAGAGAGATGCAGATGCCTGCGATGTACTTTCCATATAAAGCATACACACGTCGAAGCCAGTAGCACATAGTATAGTGATGCACACAAAGAGTGAAGCAGCCGACACAGACTGTAAGTGCTGCGGTCCACTGGCAGCCTTTCTAACCAAGAGTGCCCCAGCACCCACTTTCCAAAGCTTGCTCTTAGCAACAATATTTAAAAGTAAAGCGGGGCGCTACCATCCATGTACAACAGTGAGGGGGTGGTGAACTGGAAAAGCTCACGCCAGTCTGAGTGTGCCTCCTCTGAATTCCAAACGCAAAGGATTTTTGCCATGCAGAAATGTCCCCCATCTCCCGCCACTCCGCTATGGTGAGATTGTCTAATATTTCAAAAGAAGCTGAAATCCCGGATTTTTAAAAAGTGAATTCTCCCAAATTGCAAATGTTGGCAACTTTTCTTTTTAAAAAAAAATTATATGTATATATATTGATTTCAGAGAGGAAGGAAGAGGGAAAGGTAGAAACATCAATATGAGAAAGAATCATTGATTGGCTGCCTCCTGCAGCCCCCTACTGGGGATAGAGCCGGCAACCCGCACATGTGCCCTTGGCCAGAATCAAACCTGGGACCCTTCAGTCTGCAGGCCCACACTCTATCCACTGAGCCAAACTGGCTAGGGCTGCAACTTTTCTTCCTTCCTTCCTTCCTTCCTTCCTTCCTTCCTTCCTTCCTTCCTTCCTTCCTTCCTTCCTTCCTTCCTTCCTTCCTTCCTTCCTTCCTTCCTTCCTTCCTTCTTTTAATACTTGTTTTTAAAAGCAGGCAACATTCAGCCTGCAAACCACCAATTCGAGACTCAGGATTAAAGGCAGTTTTGGTCACTGACAGCTCTGTGGGGGCAGTCCTCTGATTGGGAGCGAGTCTGGAGACTTGATTTGAAGTAGCAGCTACATATTAAGTCTATTGTTTTTTAATGCATAGGTTTACTTGGGAAAGTTTGAATGAGACTTTACGGAAGCTAGACTTTCTCACCCCTACCCACCAACTGCTCTAAGGCCTTTGGATCAAATCACTGACCTGGAAATGGTTTGATTCTATGTCCATTGCTTCTAAACTAGAAAACTATATTAGGGTCCTAAAGAACATTAGACCTCTAAACAAAGGATCATGCTGATCCAAAATAGAGGAGTTATCTGAGAAACTTGGTCTTTCCTGACCACCAGCAGGGACAATCATAAGGAAAATCAAACCACCTGCATGTCCTGTCTGGACCTAACCTCATTTCAGTCAGTACCTCTCAAATTCCCATTTTTGTGTCCAGAACTGTGTGACTCACATTAATACCCCAGTGATATATTCTCCCCTGAACCCTTTAGATCAGTGGTTC